AGTCTTATTTATAGTACTATGCCCCTAATTCGCAGATGGGACAGGATATGAGTGCTTTCACACCTGTGAATCGATTCAGTTGTTCTAAACAAGGATTACAATTGTTACATTGTTGCTCTTTGCTCTTGGAGCGGTTCACTTTCACACTGCAAAGTTACTAATCGGACCAAAAGAGCTAAAACAAGTCACGTGCGAGTAAACTCTCCTCACATTGGTCAGAGTGTCAGGGTTTATTTTGCAGCGTCCCGCTCAGCTGTCAGGAGAGGTGGTGGTTTGGTGGTGTTTGACAGGGTGCGCGCGACGTGTCTGAAGAGTAAGGAGAGATGAGGTGGGGAGGGGTGAGAAGGGTGCGCGACGTAGCCTATTTGAGGACCGGGAGGGAGATGCGAGATTGCCAGGAGATCATCACTCGTTTGCGGGCATCCGGAGACTCGCAAAAGTTCCCGCCATACTCATAATTCTCTCTTCATATAGCCGTAAGCCTATTACATATCCATAAAACACTGTGATATAACCGCGCTCGGATCGGATCGCTTTCTCACTGCAATCGAACCGCTCCAGAGTTCGTTTCAATCGAGCCGAGACCACCTCACTTAAGCGATCTCGGAGCGATTGATTTGGCGCGGACTCGAGAGCGATTGGTGGATTCACATATGCTAAACGAACCGCACTAACTGGGCAAACAAGACAGGTTCCGAAACAAAAGTGTAGGTGTGAAAGCACCCTTATTATACCTGGGTCTAGTGAACCCGAACACCTTGTATGTAATGTAAATGTCTGGGTGGAGGTACATTATGCGGTCATTGAAAATTTGTTCGGAATTATGATCTTCACAGAAAATAGGCCAAAGCCAAAGAACTTCAGGTTGAAAAAATAATTCATTGTTTAATAAAAAAAAAAAAATAAAAAAAAAAACGAAAAGGGTCTCACAGACCCGAACACCATACAAGGGTTAATAATATAATAACGCTAATACTGAGATGGTTAGGGCATTTTAGAATGACCAAAACAACATTTCAGATGTTTTACAATGTGCTCCGCCTGATGGTTTGTCCATTCACACACGTTTTTATCATCACATGATCTCATATATCAAAATCACATGACTTTTTTATGCACATAAAATCGTTTCCATCTTAGTTTATTGCGCATCTTTTCGTATCAAATAAAAGTTAATTCGACTTAGTTATGCGCAAAGGTTTTTTATTCGCATTTTCAAAATGTATGTGCCTCTTGGTGTTTGCATTAACCAGTGTTTTTATGCACATATCCAAACTTTGCATAGAAATATGTGGATGGAAACATAGCTACTCTGTGTGTGTGTGTTGTAGTGTGTGCTAGTAGTTTCTGTGGAGTAAAAGTTTTTTTATAGCTGGCGGGTCAAAATAGACCCAAAGGACAACTGTTGTACTCTAAATGTGCACAGCCTTCATGAAAAAAGACAATGTACAATAAATGTTTAAGGTCATTTTAGAAAAGTAAGTATATGGGCCATTTTTGACCCGGGTTAAGCTTCAGTGAATGAGTGTCTCTCTCACCCTTCTTCAGCTCTCTGTGCCAGACGCGCACGATGAGCGCTGCATGTTTGCGATGGTGAATGATCCACAGAGACAGAGTCTGGACGCTCTGCTGGGAGTTACTCAGTTCAGACAGTTTCTTCTCCAGCGCAGACTCGGAGAAAGACGACATGCTGACCGCTCGCGCTCACCAAACAACCCTGAAAACAGCACAACAGACCTGATCATTAACATAAGATGCATTTAACATAAGGGGAAACACAAGGTCAAAAGTTGATATCAAACTATGGAAAAGAAAGTGAAGCTCAATAGTCAAAGCGTACACGCCTGTTTGGTATGTTGTACTCAAAAACTAGCTGCTTGTTCAAACTACTCATTTAGAACGAGCTGAAACACCATTTTTAAGTTTTTGGGGACAACTTATTCGTTTTATGTCCAATCAACTTAATTCATTCATGTTTTCCCAACACAAATAGATTGTGTGGAACCCAGCGTTTGTATAATTATGCCCACATGGAATCTGTGCCAGCAAAAAGTGTGCAGATTTTTGAGCCAATCAATCAGTACATTTATTTACTCAAGTAAATGTGGAAACATCTATTTATTGAATTATATATATTAATTTCAGTAATATTACAGAATAATGTGCACATTTAGATGATTGTTACACAATAAAGTTTGTAAAGTAGTATTTCCTGACATTTAGTAAAGCTATTATTTCATAATCTCACCGTAGTTTCGTTTACCAAACAAGTGATTTTAAGTGGATTTGAGTAGTAAACATTAAGTAGACGTTTTTATTTATTTATTGCCACATCAGCAACTTATGGCTATTTCGTGGCAAAATAGAGATGCATAAAATATTACATGATAAAAACGAATTTGTATTACAATAAAAAGTTACTTAGACAAATATATAAAATATAAATAAGTGAAATATGATAAATAAAATAAAAAAAAATGATAAATTAAATAAATTCAAAGTTAAATATGATTTTTCAGTAAAGTTTTTAATAAATAATTTAAGATTCCTCCTGGTGGTACTTTAAAAAAAAAAATCCATCAATGTAAACTCCTTAAAAAATGTTGTCTAATGATATTAAAACGTCCACATTCTGACAAAATAAGGTTGATGGTAAGAGCAGTCTGGATTTATTGTGCTTTAGGTACTAAACTCTAAAAATCATTCTGAATAAATATGCATATACTTATTTTTTTTTTATAAATTCTTTGCAGAAATGTCAATAAACACACTAGCTAGTTAATAAATAAGAAACTAATAATTTATTTTTAAATCTTGAAAACGAACCAATCAACAACAGTTTAGGCACTGGAAAAATGTACTTTTCATGTACATCACAGATCTGAACTGTTTTGGGGAATTTGTGCCTCTTTATAAAACTTTCTTAAGAATACTCCATGACTAGTCTTTGTCGTTCTAATTTTGGTTTATAATCTGCTTTTATTTTTGCTCTAATCTGTTAACCTGTATGCAATTTAATCTATAAGAACTGCTGTACATGTAGTTGTAAGATATAGTTGTCTTGTTGAAAATTTGATCTATCTATCTATCTATCTATCTATCTATCTATCTATCTATCTATATATATATATATATATATATATATATATATATATATATGTATATGTATATATATAATCTAGATAGAACTGTATTGATTAGTGTTTTACTGTACAATTGTTTTTTTTTTTTTTTTTTTTACAGAAAATAAACTATTATTTAAGATTTTGAAAGAATACTCATTGAATTGTAATCCAGACACTTTTACTCAATAAAAATAGAAATATTTCCTTATTACGGTAACTATTATACATGACAAAAAGAGTGTTTAAGCATGAACAGAGTTTTAAATATTCATTTAACTGTATTATCAAAGCAAAAAATAAAGATAATCATATATTTGACTGATGTTTGATACATACAACACCAGTTGCACCAATGCTCTATAGGTCAGTGATCTCGTTTTATTTGATATATTTAGGCCAACCATAGACTAAAGATGTCCTATTGATGACTTAACCTCCTTACACCCTTATTTTGATCTTTTTAAGTCTTAAACACTAACATGCACATTTTTTACACATAATAAACCAGTTTTGCTAATTTACCTTGAAGAAGACGTCAAAATGGCGATATTATGAACTCATTTTAACCATATGGATATTATATTCTTTTACAAACACCTATGAAGTAAACCAAAACATACATAAAGACATGTGTTGATTACATATGAGTGTTCTTAATAGACATATTACAAATTTAACAAGCTGAAACTGCATTGATTAGTGTTTTACTGTCCATTTAACATTGATCTAGCAATATTTTTGAAACTGAAAAAGTATATTATTGATGATTTGGAAAAAAAACGTCTCATTGAGTTGTATTTCAGACACTGTTTACTGAATAATAATGGTAATAATCCATATTACGTCAACTATTATACACGAGTAAATGACAAAAATAGTGTTTTCAAGCATCAACACGATTTAAACATTCATTTAACTGATTATTGAAGCAAAAAATGATAATCATACATTTGACTATTGTTTGCTACTCACAAAAACCAGTGTACCAATGCTTTATAAGTCAGCAAATATAAGCATTAATAAAGTTATTTCGCTTTATTTGATGCATTTTAGGTTAAACATACACTAAATATATCATATTGATGACCAAACATCCTTCACTCTTATTTTGTTGTTTTAAAACAATCTTGCACACTAACATGCACATTTTCTACACATAATAACCACTTTTTTTTGCTAATTTACCTTGAAGAAGACGTCAAAATGGCGAAATTATGAACTCATTTTAACCATATGGATAAATCATTTTACTAAGACCCTTGAAGTAGACCAAAACATACATAACGACATATGTTGATTGCATATGCATGTAACTATTTAAAGGAACGTTATTAACTAGTGTGAACTGCACTCAAAGCAAGTAAAGTCTGAGTTATTGATTAGTTGGCAATGTGACTAGTTGCAATGCAACAACTCTAAACAACAACAATACAGTAAAAGCTTTTAATGCATATTAAAGAAGCAAGCGAAGCAAATTAATAAATAAAGATAAATAAATACTCACCTGTCAGCAGTTCGGTTGCTAATCTGGATTTACTTTCAATGTGGCACAACACGCGGAAACCATTCACATACGAACTACCGCGGGTCAGAACGCTTATTTAAACCGAAATGTTACTAAATCGCGTTAATAAGACGCAAACTTGTCTTTTGATTCCTCGAAACTTTTTAAAAAATGTCTGAACACGATCAAATTTGGTCGCAAGTTGGGTTGATGATAAACAAACGACCGTCGCGTCTCGCGTGACGTCATTTACACGCGACATGATGATCACGCTGGTAGTGCTACAGCGCTGTACTCTTGGCTCTAAATAATATTAGCTATTATACCTAAGTGATGTCTTTTAGTTATTATTAAAACATTTATTTAGAAAGCTTAGTCATTGCGTTGTGGTAGGATGTAGATTAAATTATTTCGAATGAATATTAAATGAATGAATATGAAAAACAATGAATATGAAAGTGCATATAACGTTATGCTTCTGACAAACTGCAGAACTGAACCACTCAGAGTAAGTATTACTGGAGATTTTAACCTGTGTAAATGTTCAATTTACTTTTTGTCTTTGTATTTAAAGTAGGATTCAAATTGTTCACTGGACAATGCACTAAAACAGCTGCTTTTGCATTATATTTATTTACCTATGGCTTAAAATATGATATTGTGCATCATTTAATCAATTTTACATCCATATATAATTAACACCTGTATAATACAAGATCAAAATGCATGCCATGTATTAGGGCTGCACGATATTGGAAAAAACTGACATTATTATCGTATTATTATATATATATTGTACTTGTTTTACATCCTAAATATTGCCTTAGTTGTTGTTTAAACATTTAGTTAGAAAGCTGAGTATTTTTTTGGTTGCAGGATTTAGATTTGGCTTTTAGTTTAAGATTATGAATACGCTGCCGCCCTGCTGAAAAATCCAGCTTAAACCAGCCTAGGCTGGTTGGCTGGTTTTAGCTGGTCGACCAGGCTGGTTTTAGAAGGGTTTTGGCCTCTTCTAGGCTGGTTTCCAGCCATTTCCAGCCTGGTCTTAGCTGGTCAGGCTGGAAAATGACCAGCTAAATCCAGCTAAAACCAGCTTGACCAGCCTGGTTTAAGCTGGACATAGCTGGTTTTGGCTGGGCTTTCAGCCTGGCTAGGCTAGTCAAGCTGGTTTTAGCTGGAAATGGCCAAAACCCCTCTAAAACCAGCCTGGTCGACCAGCTAAAACCAGCCAACCAGCCTAGGCTGGTTTAAGCTGTTTTTTTCAGTAGGGAGGGTATATACAAGAATCAGTGAGTGAAATTTAATACCTTTTAAGACATTTTAAAGATTTTTCTATACATTTTAAGACCTTATAACCACTTTAGGTTTCAACCAGAAACACTGGCGAGATTTTAACTTACAGTATATTTACAAAATATTAATGTAAGAAGCTAATCCAAAACTCAAATATTGTTCATGTACTAAATAAAAAATCTATTAAATCAAGCTAATTCTGCACATTGGTGCCTATAGAACTGCAGAAATAACAGTGTTGCCTTGATTACTGCAGTAAACAAATCAGAAGGAAATCAAATATAGGAGGATTTTATTGATTTCATGAACTAAATAGCGTCCTGATATTCGCAGACTTAATTAAGGCAAACTTTAACATACAACCATACATTGCATAATCAGCAATTATATAAAATTTAACACCTAGCAAATTAGCATATAAGACTTATATATGTAATACTTTTTAAGGGCCTGAAATAGTTGATATAACAGTAAACGCAGGCTATAATGTAAACACAAAGTGTAGGCACGGCGTTTAACCTTTTAATAAAATGCAAACAGCATGCATATCCTATAACAAAAATAATCAAACAAAGGACAAAATAAATAATAATAAACGTTTATTGATTGCAAGAAACAAATAATACTAAAAATGCATAAATTATTTTGTAGTGCACAGGAACATCAATATAAAAACATAAATCTGACCTCCTTGCTAGCTGCCGCTTGGTTGGATCGTATTTTTGTTTGTTCTTCATCGTACATTGCATCACTTCCTCTTTTTTCGCCTTTATTTTTAATACTACAACTATTTGGCCGTTTAAAAAAACTTCTCCGACTCAGCTGCTGTGACATTTTTGGAACTGTACGCAGCGGTGACAAAGAGGAGACAAAACAAGGGCGATTGCCATCAGCTGGACAGGAGTGGGAATTACAGTTAGCTACAGATTACAATAAATCACCCTCAGCATAATCCATCAAAATGACGCATCACCTCGAGATTTTTCCGTCACTGCTGAAAAAAATCTGTCAATGACAGAAAATATTCGGTTAAAGCGACCTCTGCTCTGAACATATGCAATAAAGCAATAGGCAGGTATTTTATTATATTATACGTTTTGTAGGTATTTTGTAATATTATACCTTTTAAAGTAACCTGTTTTGCAACTTAGGTAAATATTGTGATAAAAGCTTCAGCAATTAAATCACAACTAGAAAATTTGATACAGACATAAGCCTAAAATGAAGTAAGATTTGTATTACGCCCCAAGTCTAGGGGAAACAAAAAGGGCATAATAAACGAAGAAAAAACAAATGTGTTGGGGTGGTGGATTTCCCAATCAAAACAAAACTTAAAGCAAAAGATTCCCTTCGGTCGACAACCAAACTCACACACTCAGTTGAGAGTATATATGATTAGATTTATTATAGAAAAATGTGGTTAATATAAATGAGCATTTCTTTAGGGTGACCACAGGCCAAATTAACAAACAAAATAATCTGTAAAGTAAATCCACTAAATTACCTATTACCATTTAAAGAAAAACATAAACATGAACAAAGTCAAAAGTAATCAAATATATAGGCAGGTCACCCCTACACGCTCAAACTCTCAAAAATATTTTAACGTATGATGGTCATCAGTACAATATTGGTTGTTGGTCGTCGGCCGGAGGGGTGAGGGAAACCCAGGAGCTCCACTCCAAACACCGAACGCACAGAAATGAGCTCCCCGAACCCTGCCAGAAGCTCCCTTATATACAGGCTTTTGAGACCAGCAGCCAATCAGAACAGGGAATCACGCCGGTATGGGAGCCTATGAGAAGGCTCATACAACAAGAAGGCGGGACAAAAGAAAAAGACAGAGTACAATCCGCAATAATAAATAAATAAATTAACTTCAGTCGTAACAATTTGTCTTAAATTTTATTTCCAATGTGTGTCTCTCTTATAATAACTTACAGCATTTATAATTTTCTCAGACCTCGAACTTCAAATGGAGAATGGCTGAACATCAGATCGAAGACCCAAAGATTGCGTTTGCATATCTCCGCCCATCATGTGTGCTCTTGACCAAAGAACCCACATCGGCTAACGTCGCAGCTCTGAGCGGTCATCTCCGCAGCGTGAGCGATGGAGCCCTTCAACAGCTCCAGGACTATATTCTGTTTCCTCTCAGATTCGTCCTCAAAACCCCTGGACCCAAGCGGGAGGGACTCATCCAGGTGGTTATGGAAGCTATGACGTACATTCTAGAAAACACATGCGTACAGAGATGGGAATCTCTACGTGATCTTTTCTCCGAGTTGTGTCTTTGTCTCTGTTCGCCACAAGACCCTGGAAAGCCTGCTATGACCTCTGAGGAATTAAAAATATCCGTTCTTGGATGCTTGGACACTCTCTTGCACTCTGCCTACGGTGATATTGTTTTTAAACTCTACGAGCCAAGCATGTTGCCTGGACTTGGTGCTGCCGTGTCTTTACTTCTGGCACTGGCAGAACAAGAAAAAGCAAGAAGTGTACAAACAGCATCCCTCAAATGTCTGCTTTCGTTGTTTCTCCAATGCGATTGCAAGAAGGAGCACATTGAACCAAGACAACATGAGAGGTATTTGCTTGGAAGTGCCTTAGCTACATTTTTACCTGGCATTTCTCGTGCACTTAGTCTTGTAGTGAGTGGAGATGTAAGACAAGGTCAGGCAGTTACGGTAAAGTCCATGAGATTTTGGTACAAGACTGTAGGTTTAGTTATGGCCGATGAGCAGCTTGAGAAGACCGGGATTGACAAGGCAGCTGGAGATCTAGGAAGAGTTGGGGAACTTATTGTGAAGAGGACGCCATCATGGCGGAAATCCACATCCCAACGTCTTGCCATAGTCTTACAAAGGATAATTTCTTGCACTTCTGCTCACCCACATTGGAAGGTCAGACTTGAATTGGTCAATCTATCCCATCATCTTCTTTCTCAATGTAGCCAAGCAGTTGTCGAATGTGTTGGTCCTCTACTTGAAGCATTGGTAGGTGCAATCAATGATGAGGAACCAGAGGTTAAAAACAGATGCAATGCAGCATTGGATGATGTTGCGCAAAAAGGTCAAACTAATGGCAGACAGGACTTCACTGATGTACTATCCGAAAACCTCCACAGCCTGGCATCATCTTTACCTCGACTCATGAGAACGTCTGACGATCAACGCAAGCTCTTTGTTCTTAACGTGTTCCTTGGGTACCTCAAGATTCTGGGTCCTAAAATCGATGTGGTCTTAACTTCAGCAGTGCATCTTGAGCGTATCTCCAAAGCTTTGATGCAAGTGATGGAACTGGACGTAACAGACGTGAAGATCATTGAAGAGAAATCTCTAACATCCTCAGCAGATCTGAGACCTGATGTGCAGCAAATCCCATCCCAGAGGAAGTATTTCCTCTACTTCACTGATGACAAGATATTTTCAGCACTCGGGAAGATCTGCCGAATGTTGGGGTACTACGGAAATCTTTACCTTCTTGTTGACCGCTTCATGGAGTTGTACAAGGAGTCATCTGTGTACAGAAAGCAAGCTGCTTTGGTCCTCAATGAAATAATTGTTGGTGCTGCAGGCATCGGTGTAGAAACAGACACTCCTTCTCAGCCTAAAACAAATCAAGAAGACTTGAAATCTTCAATTGTGTCTATCATTGAGGAGTACATCAGTCTGAGCAACTGGCATCTTCCTACAGTCTCAGAAGCTTTGGAAGGAAATCCTGAATCTACAGTTTTACCTGTGAACAATAATCTAGAACGAAACAGTCTTCAATTGCTTCCAGCATCCAAACCCCAAACGCTCCACCAACTCAACAGCAACATCTGGCAAATCTGTATCCAGCTAGAGGGGATTGGAGGCTTCGCTTTAGCTTTGGGCACAGAGTTCAGCCTACTCCTTATGAGATCTCTATATCCAGTGCTGGAAAAGGCCGGGGATGAGTCGCTTCTTATAAGCCAAGTGGCTTTCAATGCAATGTGTGACTTCTGCAAGGCTTGTGAATACAGTTCACCCAAGGAGCTGGTCATCAAGAACTCCGACTACCTTCTTAATGATGTTTCGCTAAATCTAGCCAGACCCAGTGTTCACCCTCATGCTCCAAGAGTTCTTGCGGTCATGTTTACCCATTCGGATGCTAGTCTGCTGCCCCTTGTGGCCGATGTAGTGCAGGACGTGTTAACAGCACTTGATCTCAGCTATGACCAGAGGACGCCACAGTTCTGTAGTGTGCTGAACTCACTCATGAAGGCACTTGGTGAGTTTTTTTCTTAGTTTCTAAGTCTTAAGTTACATTTGAATCATGTAAAAGGATTAGTTTACCCAAAATGGAAATTCTGTTATTCAGTACTCGCCTTAACTTCTTTCCAATCTCCTTGAGAACTTTGTTTATTTTCCGAACACAAGTTAAGATATTTTGATGAAATCCGAGAGCTCCCTTATCCTCCATGAACAGCAAGGGTTCATAGACTCTTAAAGTCCAGGAACGAAACCCTAAAAATTCTATGCGATTTCAGTGGTTCAACATTAAAAGCTCCAACAACACTTTTGTGCAACAAAAAGCTTCAAAAACAACTTTGTGTCAGATTAAGGTGCACATTTACTACAACAAATAGACATTAGAGTAACAACAAAGTAGTTCTTACAGTTTTGTGGTGCAAAAGGGAATTTGAATGATACGTGGATGAGTAATTAATGGCCGTTTTTTTTGGGTAAACTAATCATTTAAGTATTATTGGAAATAACTGCATGTGTTTTTCCATAGTGAGATGGTTCCCCAATATGATGGGACACCAGAAACTACCTACTAAACCAAGACAGAATAGCACATGTGTGAGTTTGAGACAGTTTCTGTTGGACTATAAGAAACAGAAGGAGCTTGCAGAAGGCATTGGAGTTGAGGATGAAGATCCTGATGATCTAGGTTTGTGAAATTGGTTCATTTATATTTGGTCTGAACCTCTGACTTTAAGTTTGAACTTAATGTAAATGTCATCAACTTTCTAAGTAACGAGACTAACAATTTTACCTTTGCAGATGATAAGCCTGACAATGCACTTCAGCCAAGTTTAGCAGTATTGTGCGCTATTCAAACCTAAAGTGAGAATATCTTTGGGTGTGTTCATACATAATGATTAGTCTAAGACAGGGGTTTTCAAAGTCGAAGACAGTGGGCCTCCCTTTTGACACAACTTATCCATTGGCGCCCCCTCTCCTCCCAAACACGCGCGCGCACACACACACACACACACACACACACACACACACACACACACACACACACACACACACATATATATATATATATATATATATATATATATATATATATATATATAAAGACACAGTATATATAAAGACACAGACAGATGTCAGACTGTTAACTCACTTTTATCATCATTTGCATGAAAGTGCAATTATTTACAGAGTAATAACAAGTATTTTAATGTAACGTTTTTAAAACTAGGATGATGGTTCAATATGAATAGAACAGATCCAAGAACTGTTCATCCCAGTCAAAACAGTCAAAGTTTAGCGGGTCTCATGCTGTCATTAGCCAAAATATTTTGACAAACCACACATAAAGGTCGTGGTTCATCAGCTGGTCTTGTCACGTAAATCCTAAACTCAAATACTGATCATCATATCGTCGTCTTATGGGTTTAAGCCCTGAACTTGAAGGCTTTGAACGGGGGGTCTCAGAAACCGATCCATTGTATTAGCAGGCATATACCTGTATTGGTGGGCTTGCCAAACAGAAGCGAATTCACAGCTATGGCCTTCTGGGTAAAAAAGGGTTTCTTATATTTGACGTATTATTTTTTTTAGTTTTGTTTAATTAAAACGTTTAAATATAATAAAAATACATATAATAATTAAACTTAATAATTATATTTTTATTATATTAGAATTATTTTTAATGTGTTGATATGAGATTTCTTTCTATCAGACAATTCCTTTTCTATTCTCCACTGTAAACAATGATTACATTATTATTATTGTATTTTATAAGAGATTATTTTATTGTTTTATGATGATTGATAAGTGATGATAAATATAAATAGCAGTGCATTTGATTTGTAAATTTGACTCAATAATAACTATAAAAGAAATCTGTTTTGTTTTAATGTGACATGTTTCTGTCCGATATCACATGTTCTATGCATACTGCCACTATAAATAAGTTATTTTTTGAAGGATTTGACATGTGGCCCTTCACTTGGTTTGCAAAACTGTGGCCTACGGGTCTAAAAAGTTTGCCCACCACTCATGTAAAATGCACGATGCGTTCGCTGACAATGTGCTTAATTCACCTCAAATGCACCTTTTGTGCAATGTTTGTCGTTGCCACAGCTGTTGCTCCCAGCGTCTCCCATCTCCTGCCCCAGATTGTTTGTTGAATCAGTGACGTGATCGACTAATTTCGCTAACTGACAATTTATTTATTTTCTAAACAGCTCGACCTATTATATCTGAGCCTGTGTGCTTTGTTTTCACTTATTAAAACTATATATTATTTTTGGATTTAAGTTGAAGCTGTTGGTTGGGAAATGGCCATTTACTTTCAAAGTGTTTTCTCCTGGTTTGTGGCAGCGAGGGAGAAAGGGAAGTTTGTTGTAATTTAATTTGGGGTACTTTTTATTTGAGCAAGTAAGTTAGGATTATTTCCCCGCAAGTTAGCTGTCTTTTTGTTTATTATTATGGCCTTGATTTCCGTCCGAAGAGATGCTTGTGAGATCTTTGTTGTTCAAAAAAATAAACCTTGTTGAAACTTGTGATCATTGTAAACTGGGACAGGAGAAGGGGAAAAACCTAAATTGAGTATTTAAAACTTTAATTTATTTATACTTTTGTTATTGTTCCCGCCAACCATACCGTAACACCATTCATAACAACACAATCTATATCAGCTTTGTGTGACTAAAATAGTTTTAAAACAGAACATGACCTGTCTAACAGAAATACTTCAGCCATACGCTTATTTCCGCCATTTTAAAGAACCAAAGCGAGGCTGTGGTGGGAAGAAACCCGGAAGTATAGGACCAGCAGTGTAAACATTGCAGCAACATGCTGTGCACTACAAACCTCCGGCTGTTGCTGAGATTTTAAAATGCAGAAATGGTGTAAACATCACTTTAATAATATTCAGTAAGTTTATTTAAACAATTAAAAGCAAATTAGTATCAAACAACATCACAATCTCTCTCAAGAGTAATATGCTCAAGTGTCCTCCAAGGCTTCAGCTCATGGCACCAGTTAAACCTGGGGACCCTTCCCTGCTTCAGCCTATGCTAACATTGAAGCGCCACTGAGCTCGGATGACTCGACTGATCTTCACGGCTGCTTCATGCTTCAGTCTCTGTGTATCTGTGTTTGCACTCAGTTTACCGCTCTTCACCCAGTGCAAACACAGATACACAGAGACTGGAGCGCGAAGCAGCCGTGAAGATCAGTCGAGTTATCAAGCGGATCTCTCGGCTCGTCTGTGTTTGTGCTCAGTAAACAGCGATGGGTGAACTGATGACCTTCTCGGCCAATCACAGTCATTTTTGTTGAACACGTGAACACAATGGCAAATCAGCGCTGTTTTAAGAAAGCCATCAACAGAGCCTTAAATATTAGCGGGAAATTGACGGTTTTTCTTTTAATTCAGTAGGGTGACAAGTCTAATATAGTGACAGAATCAGTTCATTAACTTGAGTTTGTTTCCCAGAGATGGGTTGTGGCTGGAAGGGCATCTGCTGCGTAAAAACTTGCTGGATAAGTTGGCGGTTCATTCCGCTGTGGCGACCCCGGATTAATAAAGGGACTAATCCGACAAGAAAATTAATGAATGAATGAACTTGAGCTTGATAAATGGCATCTAAAACGTGTGTTTGGGAAAGAAAACGTTAGCTAACTTGTGCCATTTGCCTTAACTTAGCTGAAAATGAGCTCTGATATCCCTTTTCATTTTCACCATTCATTCAGAACAGACTATCGGGTCACTCGGAAATGGTGAAATAATACATTTGTCACTTTATCTTCGCTAATAAGATATACAGCCAAGTACACAACGTTCCTATGCAACTTCCAACGATACTTCAGGGTTTCTTCCCACCACAGCCTCGACCTTGCTTTTAAAAATGGCGGCCGCGTGAAATCAGTCTAAGGTGTCGTCCTTCCTCAAGCTAGCAAAACTAACTCCAATATTGATTCAGGATTTTAACAAGTTTTGATGCAGCATGTGATTTTACCGTTGTTACTCTCTCTCTCTCTCTCTCTCTCTCTCTCTCTCTCTACTGTGTGAAGATGTGCAAACGGCAGATCTGCATGAACAGAGATGCGCAGTTGTACAAATCTACATTTATTGATTGACATTTTGGGCCACTTATCAGAATTAAGGGACATGAAATTAACCCGAAAATAAATGAAAGACATTTAGCAAATTATAACTTTGAGACAAGGCATGATCAGACGCTCTATACCAATGTTGAATTGGACATTCTAGGTTGACAAATTCATATTTATTAAATAACGAAGAATCACCTAAATGTAATTACTGCCAGACTGCTCTTACCATCAAACATATTTTGTTGGAATGCAGAAGTTTAAATTCCATTAGACAACATTTTTATAAGGAGAGTATTTGATGGACATTTTTAAAAACGTACCACCTGGAAGAGTTAAATTTTTTTTTTAATCAAAAATAGAACTGAAAAATCATATTTAACTTTGAATATATTTTTGTGTGAATTTTATCCATTTCTATTTTATAAATTTTTCTAATTAACTTTTTTAGTGTAATACGAATTTGTTTTTTATCATGTAATATTTTAATGTATATCTATTTTGCCATGAAATAGCCATAAGTTGCTGATGTGGCAATAAATATGTAATAAATAAATCAGAATTAAAGGAATTATTGGCCCGACAATATTTAATTGGATGAATATTCTTTAGTTTTATCATTGTTTAGATCGTTTACTTTAATCATTCATTACCATTGGAATGTGAAGAGACTTTCAACCAGCACAACAAGACATGCTTCTAAAGACAATCAACTACTGCACCTTCAGTTAACCTTTTGGACCTTGGATACATGATATGTGTTAAAATGCAGTCCTCAAATATCACTTTCGGTCATTCTAATGCAAATCCCACTTTCGCTTCTGATGAAAAGTGGCTAATTTAATTAAAATTTCTGCCAGAAAACCAAGTAATGCCCTGATGCCACACGTAATATCATAGCAGATGACCATCACAGAAACCACATACAGATGTCCAACAAATGACCTAACCACCTATAGCCACATTATTTCAACTTTTGCTCATGCCTGAAATTTAATATGTGCACAGCAGACAACAGTAATAACCAAGTGAGACGTCAATGTGTAAAGATAAAAAAGCGACTGAGACGATTGCGCTAATTCTGCGGAGGGTTTCATCATAACTCCAGTCCTGTAATGGTGCAGTCGGCTCCCTGAAAACAAGCTGTGTTAAGTGCTTTACACAGGGGTGCAGACGTAATAGAGCAGAATTATGATAACACACACATTTCGTGGCTCATCTTCAATCCTCTGCATGCTGAGACCTTCAACTAACGGCTCGGATTTCTGATCATTAAACCAACGCCACACAGAGCCAGAGTCCCCGAGTGATCCATTATTATGGCCTTCCTGGAATCCTCAGAAGCTTTTGTAGCTGATTTGCTAGAAACATCCAGATGTTATTCATGTTTGCATGAGAATAGTCTCACAGATTTAGGGTGCTTTCACACCTGTGAATCGATTCAGTTGTTCCGAAACAGAGATTACAATTGTTACATTGTTGCTCTTTGCTGTTGGAGCGGTTCGCTTTCACACTGCAAAGTTACTAATCGGACCAAAAGAGCTAAAACAAGTCACGTGCGAGTAAACTCTCCTCACATTGGTCAGAGTGTCAGGGTTTATTTTGCAGCGTCCCGCTCATCTGTCAGGAGAGGTGGTGGTGTTTGACAGGGTGCGCGCGACGTGTCTGAAGAGTGAGGAGAGATGTGGTGGGGAGGGGTGAGAAGGGTGCGTGACGTAGCCTATTTGATGACCGGGAGGGAGACGCAAGATTGCCAGGAGATTATCATTTGTATGCGGGCATCCGGGAGACTCTTGAAACTTCCCGCCCTACTCATAATTCTCTCTTCATATAGCCGTATGCCTATAACATATCCATAAAACACTGTGATATAACCGCGCTCGGATTGTATCGCTTTCTAACTGCAATTGATTCGCTCCAGAGTTTGTTTCAATCGAGCCGAGACCACCTCATTCAAGCGATCTCAGAGCGATTGATTTGGCGCGGATCCGAGAGCGATTGGTGGTTTCACATATGCCAAACAAACCGCGCTAACTGGGCAAACGAGACCGGTTCCGAAACAAAAGTGTAGGTGTGAAAGCACCCTTAGATCTAGAGCAGAGGTGCCCAAACTCCTGAACGAGCAGTGGTTTGCCTGTGATTTCAGGCATTTGTCGGCGATTTCTTAAAACCTGTCGGCGAGTCAAAATCTGTGCTAAAATCAACTCAGCATAACTATAATCTCGATTCGGCATTGCAGATCCTGCCATGTGACTATTGTGGATGTACACATAGTGATATCGAGGAACTTGAAGGGATTTAATGTGGATAGGCCTCTTCTTAGGACATTTTTCTCTTCTCTTATTGAGTCTCTTTTAACTTTTGCAGTAATATGCAGGTGTGGTAATTTGAGGGTGACAAGTGAAAACAGACTTTCAAAAATTGTTCATCGAGCTCAAAAGATCTTGGGTACTAATCTTAAAGGGGTGGTCCACTTAATATTATATTTTAAACTTTAGTTGATGTGTAATGTAACATAAACAACATCTCTGAATGTAAAAACCTCAAAGTTCAATGCAAAGGGAGACCTTGGGAGACCTTAGCTTAGCAAAGCCTACAATGAACGAATTTTAGGGACTACAAAAAAATACTTCCGCCCCCTGTGAGATCACAAAGGTTCGTTTACTGCGCACACACACTGCGCAGGTAAGGGCCGTGGCCAGAGGCGCTGTAACATTATAGCAGAGATAAAGCTAAAAATGCATCTAAATGCTGCTGTTTCCACAGAGCTTCGTCTGTTTCTGTGTTTCTGGACACGACACAAAGACAGAAGTGCTTACAGTTCAATATTAATTATGTTCCAGAGAATTATAAAATACACAGCAAGCATGATTTGACAAAACAGCTTCCAGAATCTCTCCCAGTTCAGTGCTGGATTCGGCTAAAATCTCCTCAAAGCAGAAGCTGTGAACTACAACCTGTAAGTGTTTTTATTAGTTAAAATTGATTGTGACATGTACAGTGTCTAGCATTAACGGTATGTTGTAGCAACGATGTAAACAATACGAAATGCTGCTTTGCGGGCAAACGATTTAGCTACAAATTCATATTAATCAGTCAAACTGCTGTAAACACACACACACTCCACCAGCACGTTCGTGTCTCTTATGTGTGTGCGCAACTTTGCATTAATTCTCTTTAGGCAGCTTTTTCATGCGTTTCACATCTCAGATAATGAAGTCGCAAAAGATATGTGGATGATTCATATTATTTACACCTGCATATTCCAGATATATGTGAAAGACGTTGTGTAACACATAGAATGAAAAAAAATACAGGAGAGCTTACCTGACTTGTGGTAGCAGCAGAAAAGTAAATCAAGGCTCACACAGGTCGCATCCCACATCTTGTGCTTTATTCTTCTGTCACGATATCCTAAAGAAAATAACTTAATCCGAGCATCAGAGAAAAAGAAAAAAACTCCTATGCACATGCGCTTGTTACAGAAAGTTCACACATTCACACACACACACACATAGACGCACACACAATGGCAAACGCTCTTAAAGGAGCCGCACCCTATTTTCACTCATTACAGACACTTGTCAGATGTTATTATAGAGAGCAGGCAGGAGGTTGACTGACTGTTTACACAGCAGAAAAGCGCATGCTTTTACGGGCGTGACATGGAGCCGATCCGCAATTCACAGCACATTATGACGATGACCAATCAGATTCACTTAAGGGCGGACCTTTCAGAGGAAATATGACAGTGGTTTTCATGTTAGCTGAGTAGCTGTGTATAATCAAAGTGAGTTTTATGAAAAAATAACGCGATTTCCTTCAAGTGAAATATGAGCACACATTGCTTTGCATCTTATAAACACAACCGAGCCTTAAAATTACATTGTGGACCCCCCCTATAATATAATAGTATTGGACAAGTGTATGAGGTGAGCATCATAAAGAAGGCTATATCCATTTTAGCAGATGAGAACTACCCACCCTATTTAAAGATTTGCCGCCTCATGCAGGCAGAAGGTTTAATTATTCTAGATGGATAAGTAAGGTCCAACAGATTTTTGCATTCATTTGTTCCAACTGCAGTTGGGTTACTTAACAAGCTTCATGATTAATTTCATTGTTTACTGTTATTTCTGTGTTGTTGAGTGTGACTTGTTGCTGTCATCTGTCGGCTATTGGTGTAAACCTAATTGCTTAATTAGGGGGACAATAAAGACATTCTAATAATGTCTAATAATCGATGCTGAAACAATATATTGCACAGCCCTAATTGATATCATCTATCCACAGATATTCCTCCGCCAGCATCTGCTTCTGATGAGGACACGGAGGCTCCCGCAGTGAAAAAGGAGCTTCCTCTTCATATCCAGATTGCAAAAGATGTGATGGAGCGGTGCATTCATCTGCTGTCAGACCCCAGCTTAAGGATTCGACTCAAGGTTATTCACATATTTAAGCTGTCAGGCTGTCAATATGGCCGAAAACCTTAAGCAAAATTCAAATTGCAGGACTGCAGGCTTGTTTCCACTGACAGCATGTCTGAAGTCAATAATGCATGTGCCTTTTCAGGTGCTGGACATCCTGGAATTGTGTGTGTGCATTTTACGCGAGCAAGAGGATGAGCTTCTTCCCATGGTGCACCGCTGCTGGCCTGCTCTCCTCCACCGTCTCACCAATGATGATCCTCTTGCTGTTCCACGAGCATTCAAGGTCAGAGAAAAATACTCATGTTTTATAGTTTAAGGTTTGGCTGCACAGTATATCCCTTCAGCATCATTTGCAATATTAATTTTATTAGAATGAAATTCTATAGACAATTCAATAAAGTACAAATAAATATATGTTTTACAGAATTATCTGTTGAGTGTTGTCCTAGACCCGACTAGGGTGACTTCATCCCTCCTTTCTGCTTCATACCAAAATATTTTATCAGGAGCCATGCAGATCAAATAAGATCACCCTCATATTTTTAAACTTTGTTTTGTCGACTTGCAAAACTCACTGCGTGCGACACCTCCACATAAAAGACGTCGGTTTCACAACGCATGAGCAGCGCGGCTATTTTTTCAGCGTTCATGTTCACAACCGGATGGGAGCATAGCAGCCCGTCAGCATCAAGCAGGAGCGGTGCATGAGGCGCGCGGGTATGTTTGTTTTGCGCACTTGCTCAGTTTGCTTTTTAATTAAACCACATTGCTTTCATCAGCTTTGGTTTGGTCGAACATAGAGAATAACATCTTTATTCTGTGATTACCACTCTTAATAGCTAAATACACTTGTATATAAAGTAAATCGTATCTTAAAGCATTTACTAGGGCACTGGCGATTTTTACTGGGGCACGTAAACGGGGTATAGCGACGCCCCTGCAGTTTCATTTATATATTAACATTAATTTAAAAACCCTTCCACCAAAAAGCCTTTGACTCTGCCTTAACAGGGACTTTAGGCAAGTATTTATTTGTCCAGCTTCTGTTTTTGAGCAGATCATTAGGTTTCTCTCTCTTTATGAATGTCTTTCTCAGGTCTTGTGTGTTCTGGGCGACTCGTGTGGTGACTTCCTCAGGAGACGTGTGTCTAAGGAGGTTTTACCGCGTCTCACCGCATCTCTGGTGAAGCAGGCGGAGATCAGCGCTCGATCTGGACCCGTCTACACACACACACTGGCTTATAAACTCCAGCTCGCTGTACTGCAGGGTCTCGGCTCTCTGTGTGTGAAACTGGACCTCAGTAAGTTTTTATATCATTAAATATATTTTGAAAGAACAAAACAGCTGTCAATAACTTCAGTCTACAATAATAATAATAATAATGGAATAATAATATAAAGGTCAGGTCAGTATCCTCACCAGAATAAATGGAGAACATTTAAGCAAATGTTACAGTAAGGAAAGTTTTTAGAAAAATGAAGACCTGTTAAAACAGTTTCAAGACTTACAACACAACATTTCAATAGATTTAAGACTTTTTAGGGCCTAAAATTGAGCTTTAAGGCATTTTAAGACCCCGCAGATAATAGGTGTCCTTTAATGTTAAAGTTTAAGCACGCATTCACCACTAGATGTCAGACTAGCTTCAGTGTTTTCTCACTGCTGCACCAGTAAATGCATCAATGTCAGTCTGACTGTAACTGAAGAAGATGTGCTCCTGTTGATGTCACATCACAGCTCCATCTGAACACCCCGCAGCTTTACACACACACACACGCACACACACAGACGCACGCACACACAAACACACCTGCTCTTTCCTCTGGAGGAGCTCCGAGGAGCATCTTTAATCTTTTATATCAGTTTTTTTGTTTTTTTTTCATACCTATGCAGTGTTTCTGATGTAACACAGCCAGTCTGCAAGGGTAAAAACAGAAAAAAGCCCTGCATGTTCATCTCATGCATTTTGATGCAGCATAAAGGGATAGTTCACGCAAAAATGTATCAAGTGGTTTGGAAGTTTCTTTATTCTGTTGAACATTAAAGAAGCAGGCCCGTAGCCAGCCTGGTGAAAGGGCTGGTTCTTTTTTCTCAAAAAGTGGACCTTTTAGCAGTTATACGCTTCAGTTTCTGTTTAACTATGAGATTTAAATTCTGCATTTTTATGACAATTTAAGCAGCACTTTTTTGCTGAATTAGCAAGTCAGAATTCATCATAACCACACTTTTTGATGTACTAAAATATTTCCTAATAATTTGCAATAAAAAAAACAAGACTAATTTTTAATATGCAATTTTTTACATTTTATATCATTAGGAAAAAATAGCAGTCTGTTAAAGTTTTAAAGTAAAAAAAAACTATAGATAATTATATAAAAAAATAAAAAATAAAAAACTATAATAATAAAAAAATAAATTAATTACTAAATTAATTAAATAAATAAATAAATAAAATAAATAAATAAATAAAATAAAATAAAAAACTATAATAATAAAACTATAATAATAATAATAATAATAAAACATTAATAATGATTTCTTCAGAATTTTTCTAGTCTCTTTGGTAAAAAAAAAAAAAAAAAGAATTAAATAAATAAATAAATAAATAATAATAAAAAAGGTACCTGGAAAATTCCTGGATAGCAACAATAGCCAAAATATATTCAAATGAATTTAATATGCTTGCTTCTGGTGCTTCACACCTTTTTATTGCTCATTATTATTTCAGAAATAATTTCCAAGATTAAGAATAAAAGTTACCTGAAGTGTTTTCTCTGTTTTAAAGCAATACAGTAGTGAAAGTAGACTTCTCTTACATCCCACTGAAGCAACAGCCGACAGAGGAGTCTGTTTGCTCTTAAAGCTTTCGATGGATTATTTTCACTTTTTATGATAGCATAGCAGTCAAAATAGGACAAATGAGCTCATGTATGGGACAAATTCTGGACCATTGTCAGTGAGAGGTGGGTCTGTCGAACCACTTAAACCCCCCTGGCTACAGGCCTGTAAAGTTAGAACATGTCTCATGCTTATTAGTAAACATGTTTTTAATAGAATAATAGTCACACTTTACAATAAGGTTCATTAGTTAATGTTAATTAATGCATTTACTAACATGAACAAACAATGAATAATAAATTTACCACTGTATTTGTTCATGTTAGTAAACGTTAGTTAATGAAAATACAGTAGTTCATTCATTGTTAGTTCATGTTAACTCATGGTGCATTAACTAATGTTAACAAGCAAGGACTTAGATGTTAACAATGCATTAGTAAATGTTCAATTATGATTAATAAATGCTGTACATGTGCTGTTCATGATTAGTTCATGTTAGTAAATGCATTAACTCATTTTTATTATATTAATTTGCCAGAATTGCCAGTCCGCCCTTGGTTTTGTCACGTGACTCGCGTCACTTTATTGTGACTTTGAGGCTTTATGGCAGGGGTGTCAAACTCAATTCCTGGAGGGCCGAAGCCCTGCACAGTTTAGTTCCAACCCTGCTCCAACACTCTTACCTGTAGGTTTCAAACAAGCCTGAAGGACTCAATTAGTTTGATCAGGTGTGTTTAATTAGGGTTGGAACTAAACTATGCAGAGCTGCGGCCCTCCAGGAACTGAGTTTGACACCTGTGCTTTATGGGATTCAAATTACTGGCCAGAGTTATTTAAAATGACACTTTATCACAATATATATTACATATAAATATATTAATTATATAATAAATATATTATATAATATTAAATTACACCAAATAATTAAAAGGACAAATTCTTGACTTTTTGGCCGTGGGAGGTGGTTCGTTCGAACTACCCAAACCCCCCCGGCTACGGGCATGAGAAGATATTTTAAAGAAAGCTGAAAACCGGTTGACTTCCATAGTGGGAAAAACAAATACAATGGAGGTCAATGGATACAGGTTTCCAACATTCTTCAAAATATCTTCTTTAGTGTTCAACAGAAGAAAAGAACTCATAAAGGGTTTGAAATAAGGAAAAGATGAATAATTGATGACTGAATTTTCATTTTTTGGGTGAACTATCCAAATGCACACACACACACACTCACACACATATACACACACACACACACACACACACACATATATACACAATTATAAGCCAATCAAATTGAAGATTCAAGTTAAATCCTCTAATACTGAAGGCAACACAAACCAAACCCTGAGAAGTCTGTGAACGGCTCAAGTGTTCGGTCATTTGATGGAGCTGCCATGTGGAGAAGATCCATCGCGAGGCAAACGCTGTGTGTGTGTGGGGGGAATACTGAATACTGCTAGAGTTTCCATGGTTATGAGAAACACCTGAGCGAGAGGTCATGCTGTTTATTTCCCAGCTGGCTGTACTTCTGTCTCTGGCTCACCTCATTTTTTCTCCTCTTTATTATTCTCCGTCCATCCTTCATTTCTCTCGCCGTCCCTCCGCATTCTGCTCCATTTTTCTAGAGTAATGAGCCTCTACATCACGCTGCTTAATTAATTAATTAGGATAATGCTGCCATGGAGACTATTAGAATATATTAGAACATCTGCGGTCGTCATGACGCAGTCTGCTCGCCGCTACAGAAATAGCAAACGGTTTTTCTCTCGTTCTTCATCTCCATATAATATGTATTGCTTACACGGTACAGTGGCTCAGTGGTTAGCACTGTCGCCTCACAGCAAGAAGGTTGCTGGTTTGAGTCCCAGCTGGGTCAGTTGGCATTTCTGTGTGGAGTTTGCATGTTCTCCCAGTGTTGTCGTGGGTTTCCTCTAAGTGCTCCGGTTTCCCCCAGAGTCCGAACACATGCGCTATAGGAGAATTGATGAACTAAATTGGCCGTTGAGCATGTGTGTGAATGAGTGTGTATGTTCAATACTGGGTTTCCACTGCATAAAACATATGCTGGAATAGTTGGTGGTTCATTCCGCTGTGGTGAACGCTGATAAATTTGCATGTGCTTATTTAAATACTGTACATAAATTCAACAGGTCTCGATCATTTAAGAGAAGTACAGTAATTATTTTATCAAGTAGACAATGAAGTGAGTCAGAAAAAAATGTCGTAGACGCCAATAGCCTAGTGGTTAGTGCGTCCACACATAGCACCCAGGCGCTCGCGGCGACCTGAGATCGATTCCCGGCTCGAGCTCGATCCTTCCCCTATCTCAGCTCCTAACAGTTTCCTGTCTATAAATCTCCACTGTCCTATCAATAAAAGGTGAAAACCCCTAAAAATAAAATAAATGTCAATATAAGGTAGGGCTGTGGGTTTAATAGAAATTGAAATCGCGATTTGAAATGTTGCTAAATCGCAAGAGGCTGCAATATGAAATATATATTAGAACTGCACGATTAATCGATAAATGATCGCGATCTCGATTCGACCCCCTAGATGATCTTAATCCAGCATTCTGCCAATCATATTTTCAAGTTCAGGAGAGAAGCAAAGGCGGCTGCGCGAGTCTTTTCATTGTTTCACATACGTTGCTCAGCAACGCGGACACCTCCAAATGATGATAAAAGAGTCACATACTGTATTTATAAGGTACAAGTCACCTAAAATTGTCATTTTTGTTTTCATATAATGCTGTATTCGCAGCCGGGAAATCACACGTGACGTGAGCTGCTTACCGTGAGCTTACCACAGAGAGGGTGGGCGAGCACCCTATTTAATGATGAATGCGTGTGTGTCTACTTTAGTGAACAGAATCTGCATAGGCTGTGAGTAACAGGTAATACAGTTGTAAATAATATTCAGTTTGTGGCACAGAGTGATCGTTTGAGAGCCGCGCGTGAAGTATGAACAGCACCTAGTAGTGATAATGTAACCAAAGCGTGCACATCATTTAAATGATCATATCACATTTTAGAGTTATGATTGCGATAAGCATTTGATGTTTTTTCTTTCATAGCGAACACACAGTTGTGCATGAAAATAAATGTTTACAGTGTCAGTATAACTACTCTAGCTTATATAATGTTGATTTTACCAGTGAATTAAATGGTCTAATAATGTTTTCAATGACAGATTGCAAGCAAAAGCCTATATCTCAAACACAATTCAACATCAGAATTATTATAAGTAGAAAAGAATTATTTATAGAAAGCAGTAGACCTACACATAATATTATTATTGTGTTAACATATGTTTGAGAAAAAAAACAATAATAATAATTGCCAAATCATATTCACCTTTATTTAACATCTACAGAATCGTGAGAAAATCGTGATCTTTATTCTAAGCAAAACAATCGCGATGTTTTGACGCGACATTTTAGCCAGAATCATGCAGCTCTAATACATATAATTTAGCTTCCCCCACCTAGAGCAAATGCGTGACTGCCGTCTTTGTGTGACAGTATAAAAGCATAAATAGATGAATTAATATTAAAGTAAAACAGCATGTCGGAAATATGGAAATATATTAATTAATTCATTTTCTTGTTGGCTTAGTCCAGGGGTCAGCAACCCGCGGCTCTTTAGCGCTGCCCTTGTGGCTCCCTGGAGCTTTTTCAAAAATGTTTGAAAATGCAAAAAGATGGGGGAGGTTAATATATTTTTTCAGTTTTAGTATGATTTCTATAGTAGGACAAACGTTTTTAACGTTTTCAAATGCTGTAAAAGTGTGTAGAATTAATATTTAATTTCAACATTTCTGTCGACGAAGATTTGCGTCATAGCCTGCGACACACGTTTCTATCAGCAGGGCGGGATGCCAGGCAGGTGGCTGTTGTAAACAAACCGGGAGATAATAAAGCATGGAAAACCGTTCAAATATGGTATGACATATTAGAACACCTATTTGCAAACTTTAAAAACATTAATTCAGTGCCAGCATACTCAATTGCCTGTGATGTGACCGATATTCAACGCGCTTTTATGCAGGTATGTGAACTCTGATGGGCCGCAAGAAGAAATGATCAAATTAATACCACTAAAAGACAAGAGGCTGTGCTGAAGTGTTTTAATGACAACAAAATAAACACCAACCACCTTATTTCAGTGGCTATTTAATCATGAAGGCTCATTATGTATTTGTGGCCAATTTAGTCATTTTTATAGTAGGCTAATATAGCTAATATAGATACATACAGCATGTGTTTCCTTCATTATAAGGCTTATATAAGGCTTTACATTTTTTCCGGCTCCAGACATATTTGTTTTTTGTTTTTTTGGTCCAATATGGCTCTTTCAACATTTTGGGTTGCCGACCCCTGGCTTAGTCCCTTTATTAATCCTTTATTAGCCTCCCCAATTCACCTGTACTGCATGTCTAACTGTGGGGGAAACCTACGCAAACGCAGGGAGAACATGCAAACTCCACACAAAAATGCCAACTGAGCCGAGGTTCGAACAAGCGACCTTCTTGTTGTGAGGCGACAGCACTACCTACTGCGCCACTGCGTCACCTAATATGGAAATATCTTGGTTTCAAAGTCAGACACCGAACGTAATTTCTTAGAGCGGTTGTAGAATTGTTGCCACAGCACGAGATAATACAACAACCAGTACCTAAAAAGCCCCACAGGCAGCTATATGAGGAGCATCTTGCTTTAAAGTCAACTAAAAGTATTGCCAGTGACACTCAATCTAGTAGCAACAACAGCAAAGTACAATCTCAGAGTTGTTTGCTAATATAAGTTAACATCTTTTAAGTAACAGCTACAACACAGATTATTGAGCTGAAGCTTGACTACAATATTAAATCACAAATCAAAATCGCTTTATCAATAAAATTGCAATTAAATATTTTCCCCAAATCTCACAGCCCTAAAATATAACATGCATGAAATATTGTGTCCATGTTTTTAAATGTCTTGTGTTTATTATTGTTGATATTGAAGAAGATTTTATTCTCTCTGTGTGAAGTATTTTCTAAGTGTAAAGCAGTTAATTTTCTCTTCTCAAAATGTATGTAGTGTTTGCAGCAAACATGCCAGCGTGTGTTAAAAATACAGTGATGTGTGTGGAAGATGAGCATGTCTGCACAGGAGCAACACTAGCAGAAGAATGACTGAATGACTGATTATATATGTTAAATACTTGTATGAAGCTTAGAGTGAGTAACATATTATCAAGTTATTATCCTATCATGACAATGTATGTAAACACTTATTTTGCATCTATGCTCTGGTGTCAAAACAGATGCTGACACAGACCTGTAACATCTCTGTTGACATGAGCTAGTGGGCTAAGAGCCAAGAATAACCACCTAGAGTAAAAACCTATCATAAAATGGTTAAAAGTTAAAATGAGACACCTAGGGGTGTGTCAGATAACCTGTATAAAGATTGTTAAAAAACACAGAGACTTCAGAAGGAGCAGGAGAGACTTTGGAAAGAGAGAACCAGAGATAGGAAGTGTCCAGGAGAGACTTCAGAATGCTCTGGGGTCTGCTCTGCTCTTTCTCGGCTTTATTATGGAGAATAAAGTCTATTTTCTGATATTCAAAACCTCCAGTCTGATAATTTCTAATTGATAAGAAGTCGAATTTACGACAATACATTGTTTATTATTGTTAGTTTTACATTTTTTAATAAAGCTAAAATGTCCTGTTTGGTTCAGGTTTAAAGAATTAAAATAGTTTAACTGCTATGCGGCGTTGAGATTTATATGTAGTGGAATTATACGTTGAATTTTTTGTGTTTAGTCAAGTAATTAACTGAGTTTCTATACTTTGCAATTAAAAATGTAAATATATTTTTAAAAACAATTTAATAAATTTTTTAAATACACTTTTAATGATGTAATTAGTAGTGAATTACTTTTTTAAAGTAACATATTCAGAACTTGCCATTGTATAACAGTGTTTTTATAACCATGTTTTGATAAAATAATCCTAAGGGGGCTAATAATATTGACTTTAAAATACTTAAAAAATAAAACTGCTTTCATTCTAGCTGAAATAAAATAAATAAGACTTTCTCCAGTAGTAAAAATATTTTAGGAAATACTGTGAAAAAATACTGAGTCTGTTAAACATCATTTGGTAAATATTTGATAATGAATAAAAATGTCATAGAAGTGTGAATAATTTTGACTCTAATATATCTGATTTTCCTGTGGTTCAGTCTTTAATCTTAATGTCTGTTTGCAGTGGATGCCGATCTGGATCATGTATTAGATGCCTGTGTTCCATACCTGAGCTGCCGACAGCCAATCAGACTGCAGGAGGCGTGTCTTAGGTGAGGCCACACCCATTTTACTATTAGAATAGAGCATTGCTTCCTATTTATAATTCATTTATTCATTTTCCTTCGGCTTAGTCCCTTATTTATCAGGGGTTGCCACAGCAGAATAAACAGCATATGTTTTACACAGCAGATGCCCTACCAGCTGCAACCCAGTACTGAGAAACACCCATACACACTTATTCTCACACACACACACATACACTACGGCAAATTCAGTTTATTCAGTTCACCTATAGCGCATGTGTTTGGACTGTGGGGGAAACCGGAGCACCTGGAGGAAACCCACGGCAACACAGGAAGAACATGCAAACTCCACACAGAAATTGCCAACTGTCCCAGCCGGGACTCAAACCATCGACCTTCTTATTGTGAGGAGACAGTGCTAACCAATGAGCCACCGTGCCGCCTCATTCATTACATTAACGATGATAATCATCCTGGCAGATACAGATATTTTTACTGAAAGACATGTTTTATTATAATTATTATTTTTTTTAATAATCTTCTGCCTGCCCCTGACAGTAATATTGATGATGATGGTTTCTCATGTGTTTCAGTGTTTTCCGCTCTCTGATGGATCTGGACTCGGATCTGTGCTGGTTTATTCTCAATCAGCTCTACTGTCCTGTAGTTTATGATCCTCCTCATCCATTACTGCTGCCTGTCAAGCTGAGCGGAGCGAACAAACCCAGAAACCAGTTCACTGACAACATCCTCAAACTCCTGCAGGAGCTGGACGGAGAACCAGAGAAACCAGATATAGACGCTTCACATGACAGATAACCGGCCTTCAGGCAGTACTTCTCAATGCTATATTTAAAGGAGCAGTTCACTCAAAAATAAACATTTACTCACTATTTACTCTCCTTGTTGTGGTTATAAGTGGTTATAAACATTTATGAGATTTTTTTTGTTGTTGCACACAAAATAAGATATTTTGAAGAATGTTAGAAACCTCAAACCTTTGTTTTGTCTTACTATGGAAGTCAATGGTTACAGGTTTCTAACATCCTTCAAAAGTCAATGGTTAATGTTTTCCAACATTTTTCAAAATATCTTCTTTTGTGTTTAACAAGCTGGATGGAGAACCAGATGCTTCATATGACATATAACATTCCTTGCTACTTCTCAATGCAAGATTTTAAGGGGTAGTTCACCTAAAAATGAACAGTTACTCACTATTTACCCTCAAGTCAGGGGTTATAAACATTTGAGTTTCTTTTTTCTTCTTCAACACAAATATAAATATATATATATATATTGAGGAATGATAGAAACCTGTAACCGTTTACTTTTAATAGTATTTGTTTTTCCTACTATGGAAGTCAATGGTTACCAGTTTCCAACATTTTTCAAAGTATCTTCTTTTGTGTTTAACAGAAAAATAAACCTCAAACTTGTGTGTGATTGTGAAGGGTGAGTAAATTGATGACTATTTTCATTTTGGGTGAACTGTTCCTTTAAGACAGCTGATTATTCTTGGCTCCTGATATTCATTAGTATTTTTGACTGATTGTACGACTAACTTTTTTATACGATGCAGATTGCTTTGTATATAATAAAACAAACTGTCTAGAAATAAAATGTTTGTCCCTTATAAAAAAAAAGTCAAATTGCCATTTAGAATATATATTTTTGGTATGTTTTACATTGTAAGTATTGTTAATTCTCTCTAAAAGAAAAATAAATCGATTTTTTTTGTCATTGAGAAAAATGGTTGTCCCTTAAAATCAAATTACGACTGACAAATGACTAAATATAAATGTTATTATATTTACTGTTACTTCAAATGAATTATAAACAAATACAGGATGATCTAAAACGTTATTTTATTTTAAGGTTTACTTGGAATTGTGAAAAAAAGGTCATTAAAAATAAATTAGCATAAATACTAAGAAAGTAAATGACCTTTTTCTGCCAAAACACAATAATAATTGAGTTGCTACTTTTCTAAAATAATGATTTATTATTATGGAAACTTATGGAAAATACTTTCAGAAGTATTGTTTTTATGAGTTGTTTATTTCTGCCAGGATGCCATAAATATTATTGTTATACATTTTAAACAATAAAATAGTTTGCAGTGTTTCATAATAATAATAATAATTATTATTTGTTCATTATTTTTTGAGACAAAAATATGTTATTATTTTTCTAAAAGTTAGAAGCTACTTTTTGTATTAAAGGAATAGTTCACTCCAAGATTCAAATTTATTCTCGTTTTACTCACCAAGATTTTCCAAAACTTTGAGTTCAAAAGAAGATATTTTTTTAACAAAGCTGAAAACCTGTAACCATTGACTTCCATACAAACACAAATACTATTGAAATCAATGGTTACAGGTTTCCAACTTTCATCAAAATATCTTCCTTATGCATTTCTTTTTTCTGTTAATCGTTAAAGGCTTGAAACAAGTGAATAGGCATGTCGATGACATAACGTTTTTTTGGGTGAGTGAGAGATATCTTTAAGATGTTTTGTGAATACAGTCATAAATTTTGAGACTGAGATACAAGTTATTATTTTTTTATTTTTTGAATTTTAGGAGCTACTTTTTGCCCAAATAATTTAATTTATTCACAATATACTCTCCCTCAAGTGTTTCCAAAACTTCATGAGTTTCTTCTGTTGAACACAAAAGAAGATAGTTTGAAGAAAGCTGAAAAGCTGTAACCATTGACTTCCATAGTAAAACAAATACAATGAAAGTCAATGGTTACAGGTTTTCATTCATTCATTTTCTTTTTAGCTTATTCCCTTTTTTAATCTGGGGTCGCCACAGCGGAATAAACCGCCAAATTATCCAGCATATGTTTTACACAGCGGATGCCCTTCCAGCTGCAACCCATCTCTGGAAAACATCCATACACACACTCATTCGCTACGGACAATTTACCTCACCCAATTCACCTGTACCGCATGTCTTTGGACTGTGGGGGAAACCAAAGCACCTGGAGGAAACCCACGCGAATGCCACACAGAGACGCCAACTGACCCAGTCGACGTTCGAACCAGCGACCTTCTTGCTGTGAGGCGACAGCTACTGCGCCACTGTGTCACTACAGGTTTTCAACTTTAATCAAAATATCTTCTTTATGCGTTTCTTCTGTTAAAACACAAAGCTTGAAACATTAAATCATCTTCCTTTGGCTTAGTTTCTCATTTATCAGGGGTTGCCACAGCAGAATGAACCGCCAACTATTCTGGCATATTTTTACACAGCAGATGATCTTCCAGCCACAAACCATGCAGTACTTGGAAAGGCTTGAAACAAGTATGGCCTAAATAGTAAGTTGACTAAATGATAACAGAATTATTTTGTTGTGGTAAACTATCTCTTTAAGATGTTTTTTTTGTGAATTCGGCTGTTGGTTGAGTCCGGTCGGTGTGGTCGCCGGTTCTCCCCTGACAGCCTGATAATAAATGTGGCTCCTGTGAGAGTCGCATTAAAGCTGCCTCATATGCTTTGTGTTAGCGAGCCTCCATGTTATCTGCACTGTACTCCGCTATTTATCCTGCTGCCAGGGCTGACAGAGCCGCTATTATTCACCGGGCCCAAGCGTCTAGGCGGCCGGCTAAACGTGCGCCATATGCGGCCTTAATGCAATTTCCTCCCGGCCGCTTCTGATAAGAGCAGAAACATCATTACGGAGTCAAAGCGCTTGACATCAGCTTTGTTTGAGGGATCCACCGCCGCCGAAGACGACAAAGCAAATGGAAGAGACGAAGTAATGAAGAATGGAGGTGATTTTTTGAGGTTAAGTGGGGAGAGAAGCAGTTTATTAGAGAAAAAGGCGGGAAAAACGGCACGGTGAAGATTTTTAGTTAGTTTATTATAATATCGAGCATATCATCCTTCAATAATCGACAAAATATATGCTAATTATATAGTTTTAGATTCTCGTATCAGAATATAAATTACAATATAAAATGATGCTGTCTGACAGAATACAGATGTTCTCTAAATCAATAATAGCCTATGGAATGTTTCAGAATGATTAATTTAATAGTTTTTTAGCATTGTGAAAGATGTGTAATCTTTACAAAAATAAACATATATAACAAAAATACAAGGGACCAAATGAAGTTGTGTTTCATCCCAGAATCTTAATATTATTATGCATTATTTGGAATTGGGATGAAATGTTTAATATTTAGTATAAATACAAATGATCAAACAAAAATACAAAAAACAAAACAAAACATAAATTACGACCAAATACTTTTGTTTGTGTGTGTGTTTGGCATTAAATATTTACTATTCACAAGCTAGTAAATATATACAAATTTATTAATCAAATGTACAAAAAAAATTAAAAATACCATAAAGAGTCAAAGCGCTTGACACAAGCTTTGTTAGAGGGATTCACCGCCACTGAAGACGACAAAGCAAATGGAAAAGACGAAGTAATGAAGAATTGAGGTGATTTTTTGAGGTTAAGTGGGGAGAGAAGCAGTTTATTAGAGAAAAAGGCGGGAAAAACGGCACGGTGAAGATTTTTAGTTTATTTGGAATTGGAATTGAAATGTTTAATATTTAGTATATAAATACAAACGATAAAAAAAAAAACATAAATCACGACCAAATACTTTTGTGTGTGTGTGTGTGTGTTTGGCATTGAGAATAAATATTTACTATTCACAAGCTAGTAAATATATACAAATTATTAATCAAACATACAACAAAATTAAAAATACCATAAAGAGTCAAAGCACTTGACACAAGCAAATAAGAGATTAGAGTAAAGAAATAGGTGATTTCTTGAAGTTTAAGTGGGGAGGGAAGCACTTTGTGAAAGAAAAAGGTGAGGAAAAACTGCACGGTACAGGTTTTTAGTCAATTTTGGCAGTCATTCCTCACCAATATAGGGAAACTAATTATCCCAAGTTTCACGTTTGTTAGGCATTTGTTTGCCCTTATATTTTATTTACAGTAAAACTGTAACCATGTTTTATGGGGCACTTCCATATGGCAAAAGTTTTACAACAAATACCATGGTACAACTAGTAAGTTTGGGGACCATAGTGGACTGGACAATGTTTGCTTGTTTGCTTGTTTGTTATAAAAAGCATTGTTAATTTTAGGTTAAGGGTAATATGTTTTAAAATGTTTGTTTTAGTCTATATGTATGATAACATTTAAAAAAAAAATAATTTAAAAGTCATGACATTGTATGATTTTATGTTAATTATAATAACTTATTAAACTAGAAGTTAACATGTTACAGCCACTATCTATTTTAGGTCGGTTTAATGTAATTTCTGCAAAAATCACTCAAATTTAAGATCTTAAATTTTGAGGTAACCAGGATTTTTTTGGGGGGTGTATTGGTCAAAATGTAGTGTAATATAATGTATTTTTCATGTAATGCCACGTCAGCAACCAAGGTTATGTTCATGGCAAGAACATTTCAATAATAAATATACAATTAAAAACAACAAACAAATGAATAAATGAATTAGACTTTTAGCATTAATACATAATAAAATAAAACAAAAAATATGTCACTTTCCTAAATGTTCAAAATACTTTCATTTGTTGTGATTGCTCAGGTGTTTTCCACCAAATGATAAGATTATTAGGCTATTAAGTTGTCTTTAAACATGGCACTTTTTAGTTTTTTTTTGTGTGTGTGTGAAAATGCTCTAAATTACAATAACGTGCTGTGTAATATTTTGTTTTAGTTTGTAAAATATGACTTAAGCATTTTCAAAATGGTAGGTAAACATATTTTCAAGATTTCCTTTTTAGCATAACAAAAAAGATGCAATGACTTCTGATATCTTTATATTCATGTTCCTAATCAAATTGTACATAAATTATAAACAATATTATTAGAATTTCATTGAATGAAATAAA